TTACGAATTTTTTCAAATTGTACTAAAAATTTCATCACATGTCTAAAAGCCTAGAAGAAGAAAATAAGAAAAGTGAACTATTTGAAAGAGAATTTTGATTCAGTCGATTTTTGGTTCAGCCATTTCTTATTCAAAGAGAATAATGTAACATTGGTCCGTGCACACACCACAAAGTACGTTTGTATAACAAATTCCTTTTTAACTAGTTTATCTAAGGTCTGATGGTACTACTTCACATCTCTGGTACTACTTTACACCTCGTGCAACATCTGTGTGAAGAAAGTTTCATTATAACAAAAATTTTTAAGTAAAATATATTCATTCTCACTAAGTTGTATTTTTAGAATGAGCTTAGCATACATGAACACTTTAAAACTACTACAAAATTCCATCTAACTAAAGGAATATTTGAGTATGTGATAATTAGTGACTTTTCTGACATCAAAAACATCATGAGAATAATTATCCATAATTGTATAGAAAAAACAATTGGAGAAGGCATTAAAAACAAAATTGAGCCTGATACTTTAGGTTGTATTGTGAGTTGTGATCTATTTTATGATGATGTATGTAGTCCAATATGTGAAATGTCTAATAATAATACTTTTGACGACATTCTAGATGGAATTATAGGAAAAGCATATTTACTGAGGGGTGAACCTTTTACTGTGACAGTCACTGGAGTAAATGTGAAGGGTCTTCCTAAAAGAACATCTTTTAACAATGTGTAATAATATATCTAACAAATATTAAAATTAATGATTATTCTCGTGTTTCAATTTATCTGTAAGACATTAGTCAGGCTCTTAGAAGGAATTAGTAATAGTATTGTTGCTAGGCTTCAATAATAATCGAAAAGAAATATTTTCTATGTTATTAAGTCTATCACAATAAGTAATAACTTCTTGTCAACAACATCCTTAACACACCCACAACCCACTCAGGCGCACCACGCTCTCTACACATGCACGCCCTCGCACGTGCATACGAAGAATTTGAGAAATTGACAAAATTTCATCTTTTTGGGAGATTTTTTGTTCAGATGAATGGTAAATTTACGCGCACCCTCAACACACGCGCCAAAAACACACGCACATTTTTTTCATACGCGTGTACACTGAAAATAAGGAAATTGACAAATTTTATCTTCTTTTCCTTAATTTTGTAAGTTTACCCCTAAAAGTGCAACTCCTTTACTCTAAATCTGAAATCATCTACTTTGTCTCGCTAATTATGTAAAATTACCCCTAAAAACTATGTCTTCTTTCTCTTAATTATTTTACTATTTTTAAATTGTATCTTTGTTTTCTTAATTATGCAATTTCAGCCCTAAAACATGTGACTATTATTGAATAATTTTTGCAAAATTGTATCTTTAAAATTTTATCACGAATAAAATTAATACAATAATATTGTGTAACTTATTTATAAAATAACAATAAGAAAAATTTTATTGAAAAAAAAAAGTTAGAAATATTGTAATAGATAGGAGTATGGCTTCACCATTTGACTGGCAAGCCCGAACTCAACAAGGGAAGTGAGAATTTATACTCAAGTCCGCAACCACCGATTTTCAATGTGAGGATTACCTCACAACATTCGATAGTTGGTATAGAGTTTGGGTGCCCGTACCTCTGGCTACTTTCCAACCCTATAATTACAATAAAATTCTAGGATGGTGATTATTAATATAACCAAAATTTAGTACAACAAAATCGGAAGGGCGGACAATGCCCTTACCGACATAAGGTTCATAATTTTTAGTAAGGGGTTGAGTGATAATTGATCCATCTTTAATAGATGGTTTAAGAAAATTTGGGTATTTAATTAAAATTGGAATATTATCAATTTTTGTAAAATCAAAAACTTGCTTCTTGAAATTTTCGTAGCAGAGACCTTGATTGTTGATGACATCCCAGTTGAGTGTCATTCCGCGGACTTTGAGAACATAGTCCGGCTCAGCATTGGGAGTAGACTTCTTTTGAAGTTTCAAACCATATTGTTTGGCGCCCCCAGAGCAGTATTCCAAGATGTTGAAATCGGGGTACTCATCAGTAAACTGACCCAGATGAGGCCCTAATTCAAGTGGGCAATTGTTGTCTGGGTGGATGAAGATTAAAGAATCGGTGTCGGTGTATAGTAACTCACACCCCGGAGTCCTTACAACTTTCTGCATTGCGTGTAGAAGGTGAATTCTCGCTGCTGATGTGGTCCAGAGCGAGATTATGACGTTTGATGAGTCATGCTCCTCCACCCAATCTTTTTTCTTAATGTAGTCGATAAGCACAGTCCCATCTTCAGTCAATTCATGACAATGATTAACTGTTATTGCTGGGTCGTCGCACATTTTTACGTATTCACTTGGGTCGTCAGTAATTTTGCATTGGGAGAGTCCAAAGTTACGAAGTGAAAATCGACCCCACAAATTGTTTAGACACAATTTCGCTTGTGTCCGTTTACCCTTATTGACCACCATCTTCTCCCTCTCGATGTTAATCCCAAACATTTCCAGGCACTCTTTCATAAACTTATCTTCCTTCTTCTTGTCACCCTTGATGGTGTTGTCAAAACCAGAAGAGTGAATTTTCTGGGCCATAAATTCATTGATGTAGGGTCTGAACAGTTTGTCGTCATAGTTTTTGAACTCCAGAACCCTGAAGAGTTTGGTCACCACATACCCCTCCTTGAGGGCTTCGTTTATCTCAATAGACGTACATGTGCTGACCCACCCTCGCTGTTTATTAGTGTGGGGGCAGCTGTAGTTTTCGTTGACATCACCTTTAGGGTACTCTTTTGCACATGTAGAACATAGAGGGAAGAGTAGTCGTTCATCGTCGTCTTCCCCAATTTTCATAGGTAAGACAGGAACGTCAATACTTCTCGGTGGTATGACGAATAATTTTAAAAGTGAAAGGTTGTAAGTGTTGTCTTCAGGTTTAGTCCAATTGACATCCATATTGATAACGTGGACTTCTGGATGCCCAACAGGATATCGAGTTGAGACGTTGATAAATGGGTAAAGGGAGGTGACATCGTAGTAAGAAATTTTTTGTCCATCCTCAGCCTTGTGGAATAACTTCAAGGGACCAGTTCTTCCCCCATAGAAGGCCTCTCTAATATTTATTGGTCCATCATCCAGATATTTTTTAAACATCTTCCTCATTTCATAATCTTTTGCTACCATATCAATGATTTGACACTCCCAATATACTGCCACTTTGACCCCCAAATTCCTAATAAATTTTAGACGTTTTTGGTCCTTCTCCCGCTGTTTTCCAGCTGTAAGACCTGTTGGAAGCTTAAGATCGTCGTCAGGATAGCATTTGATACATCCATGCCAGCAGCAACCATTGACTTCAATAGCCAATTTCTTTTCCTCAACCCATCCATCCAATTTATAATTTCCAATTTTCTTCTCCCCATTCTTTGAGTGTGCTGTCCTAATTGTAACGTTATTCTTCTCGCCATACCATTTCAGAAACTTGAGAGCAATTTTACTTTGGTTGTCGACGTTGTCGTAACCTTTTTCAGGAACAATTCCTAAATGGTTGGCTTTGAGGTGATTCATGCGGAAGTGCTTCATGCAGGCAGAAGCAATTGTCATAGCTTCACGAAGAACATCCAAGCCATTGGAGACTTCCAAAAATTCCGTTCTGAAGGCAATGAGCGCAGCCATGAGGATCTCCACATCGTTGATACAATATGCTGCTAGTTGTTCATTTAAGTTGAAGGGCTCATTTTTATGTTGGTCAAACCATTTATCAAATAATGTCCTTTTCTCAGGCATCATAGTGTTGCAAAGGTAATCTTCTTTTGTCGGAAAGATTTCCTTCCGATAATTCTTTGGGTTGTTGGCCAGGTGAGGGAAGAAAGGTTTGTCTTCCATTTTAAGAGCAAAGGCTGGTACTAGCGAAGCCAACGGCATTGGCATTAGATTGTATGTGTCTCTGAAGATGACCCAGCATTTTTTATTGTTCTTCACCTTCATCTCATACATTTTGTTACCTTTCTTTATCATTTCTGGGATTAGGCCTTTGAGATACAATGTCTTGAAGACTAGGACCATATCAAACCTTCCTCCAAAATGAGAGAAGGCTACTGTATCAATAGAAAAATTAGTGATCCAGGTTACAAAATCATTCAGAGGATCATTAGTGATGTTTTGTTGATCGATTTGAGTGTTGGAAAATGGTTGGTGGGAGAAGGTTATTGTTCGATCCTCCCCACAAATTTTACAGTTGTTATTCAATCCGTTACTAATACACTCGGGGCAGTTGATTTTTGCAGATATAAAATTCACTTCATGTAGTTTCCCCTTTTCTCCTTGTTTGTGCTGCATGGTTTCAAAGTCAAAAGCGATGACTCGGTAGGGTTTTGGCTTCCTTTGAGTTAGAGATTTAATGTAACAACCTCTTTTTGGGTCATGGAAGCTAAAGCAGGTGGTGCAGTAACGTTCTGAACAAACATGACCAGTACGTCCATTCCGGTTGTTCACAGCAACATTCCATATAACTCCACATTTCTCACATTTCTTAGAGTTGTGGCAAAATTTAGATTTGAGATGATGGTCATAGCACTCTTCATTATTAAATTTCTTAGAACAACCATTGCACCGTTTGAAGTAGTTATCTAAAGGCTGGCATGGGTAATTGGGTCCGATCCTGGAGCAATTTTGACATTTTGATGTGCAGGTGATAGAATGATCTTTTGGTTTGTTGTAAAGGGTTTCACAGGCAAGGCAATAAGGCTTTCCAAATAAATCACCTGCCTTTCTAACTCCATCAAAATGATTATTGTTGTAATAAAGAAGAATTGGAGTAGTGTGATTTTCATCCCCATATTTAAAGATAGGTTTTTCATCTAATTCTCCAAAAATAAAAACTTTAAACAGGCCATCATTCCTTGAATTCCAATAATCAACCACCTTGGGTACCCATTCATTTGCATCATATGTTGTTAAATCAAGAGGAGCTCCTACATTTTCCATCAAGAATGTTGTATCATGTTCCAAACGTTTCTTCATTCCTAATCTGCTATGCATATAGTCATAGAACTTCCATTTCGGCCATGAGCATGTTGAAAATATAAAGGTGGCAGACAATGATCGAAATAAACAATAGTTGTCAGAATTAATAATTTTAATAAGGTTGTGTTGTTTAATTTTATGTTGAGTTGTTGAGGAATCTTTACCGCTTCCTTGAATAGTACGTGTTGTAGGCAGATGTTTTTTGTCAATAGCTGTAACAGAAACGGTAAATGGTTCACCCCATAACATTCCCTGATCCTGTTTTTTAGATTGGGCCACTTTTAGAAATTGGTTAAGAATTGAATCCACCGTGTTGGGAGAAATTTCACGTATTGGAATCCAAATATCTGATTCTAACAATTGACTGCTCACTGTACAGCCAAGTTGATCTGGATCAAGCTGATGACCATGACTCGTCTCCAATGTTTTGTCGATGCATTCTTGGAAAATTCCTTTTAATAAACCCTCAGGATCGGGTGGGATATTCGAAATTAAGAATTTAGTAGACAGTTTGGTAAGGTTAAATTTCCGGGTGATTTTAGTTTCTTCACCCAAATGTTTTACATAATCACCATCACCTTTCTGTAATAGATTATCAATGAAGAAATGTCGTGCTTTCTTCGAAGGTGGAGGAGACATTAATAATAAAATAAATTCAAAATTAGAGACTAATTCAAATGTATTAAATTTCTTAGAATTTTAAAGAATGAAGAAAGAAATGTGAAATCCTTTTTTAAGAAAATATTCCATAAAATAATTGATGTGTTGTAAAATAGGAATTTCACTGAAATTCCATTTCATTATTTTCCAGTCGCGGGAAAAAGCCTAAAAGAAATTTTGCATAAAAAAGCAAAAGAATGTGTAGAGAATAAAGAAAGAGCGAGCAAGTTTCGTAATAATGTTTAGTTTCGTAATAATACATACCTTTGTTTTTATTCCTTAGGATGTTGTCAAAAGAGAAATCCCTATATAAAACAATCTTTTTCTTTTATTTCCAGTCAAGAAGAGGAATTTTAAAAATAAATTTAACATAATTTAACTAAATAGGAAATGTTTTAAATTTTAAATAATATTTCGAGAAAGAAAATTAGCATAATATCTGGTAAAGAAAATTTTTAGGTATATAATTAGCAAGTTGTGAACGATGCGACGATGTTGTTTGTAGAATTTATTTTTTAAACTCTTAATTTTTTAAATTATTAGTGGGTAATTAATAGAGAGGGGTAATTATAAAACTTTATTTATTTTCATTTATTTATTTTTCCTATTACAGTAATATTTTGTTTTTATAATTAAAGTCTATTTTCACTTTTCTACGCCTACTTTTTAATAATTTTTTGATCAATTTTTGCATGAGCTATTTTTTTACCTATTTATACTTTTTAAAGTTATTTCTATCTTCAACGTCTACTTTTTAAAAATTTACCCATTTTTAACTTTTCAACAATAATTTACAAATTTTTACAGTTTTTCTCTTGCATGACCTATTTCTAACCAATTTTCACTTTTCAACAATAATTTTGCAACATAATTATTGCATGACTGATTTTTACTATTTCTATTTCAACCGCCTACTTTTTAATAATTATTGTATTTTTTTAAGTATAAAGGGTAAAAATAATAAAATAAGATATTGTAAGAAAAGAAACTTAAAAAAAAAGTTTAAGAAACAGTTTTAAAAAGAAAAAATATGGGAAATCTTGATTGAACCGTTTGAAAACTACTTATTGAACCCTAGAAACTTTGGGAAAATTTTTAGAATAAAATTTGGTGAAAAATGTGGGGAATGGTATGGTAAGGTGTTTTTTTAAAGTTCGCACCAAACCGTTTTGATCAAATTATCCCTTAAAGGGAAATCCTTAAACCTTTGGACTCTGACGACGGAATGGTTGAATGGTCGTTTAAAAATGTGGGAGGGGCTAAATGGTTGGACCCCGCTGCCCCCAACGACTTCTCGGGGTGACTAACTACTGCGCCTTATGCGAAAATTTTAAAAAATTCATGATTCAATTAAAATTTTTAATGTCTTTTCAAGTTAAAATATTAAAAAAAATAAATTTGAAATCAAAATCAAAGTTAAAAGACATTTATTTTTAAAAAGAAAAATTTTTTCAGACTAAATCCAACCTCTGGATTCGAACCAGGGATGTGCGCCAGAATTTTCGCGTGGCGCGCCAAACGCCAAACGCCAATTTTTCAAATTTTCAAATCACTCCAAACGCCAGAACGCCAAAATCGGCAAAAAACGACGCCAAAACGCCAAAACGCCAAAAATTTTATTCAATTAAGACACGAAAAATAAGTGTTTATCTCTTTTTAGCGCCGCAGGCGAAAATTTTTGAATTATCATGACTTCCAGAAGCCAAAATTCATCCTTTTTTAGCGCCTGCGCACAAAATTATGAAATTTGTTAAGCACAAAAACAGAAATCCTACTTTTTCTAAAAAATTTCAAGAAAAATGGAAAAATCACAACCCCAGAATTGTAGAATATTGAAGGGTTTAGATGTCCAGATATCCTCTTTAACCTTCCGAACAGGGCTGTGCGCCAAAATTTTCGCGTGGCGCGCCAAACGCCAAACGCCAATTTTTCAAATTTTAAAAACACGCCAAACGCCAAACGCCAAAAATCGGCCAAAATCAACGCCAAAACGCCAAACGCCAAACGCCAAAATTTTTAGAGTCTATAAAGCACTTAAAAACCACTGTTCCTCTCATTTTAGCGCCGCAGGCGAAATTTTTTGAATTTTTAAGATTCCCAGAAGCCAGAATTCATCCTTTTTTTAGCGCCGGAGCGAAATTTTTGAGAATTTTGGAATCAAAGAAGCCAAAATTCATCCTTTAAAAAATTTAAAAACATAAGAAATTCATAGAACTCCTTGAGATTAAGGTGATATGAAGGGATAAAGGTTGTAATGAGTATAACAGATGTCATGAAGAGAGTAAACGATTGACGGGACTAAAGTTTTTTTCTACCATCTATTAGTTTAAGATAAGGGCTTCCTCCTTTAAGCGCCGCAGGCGAAAATTTTGAAAATTTTGGAAGTCCAAGCAGTAGATTTCTTCATTTTTTATGCGCCGCAGGCGAAAATTTTGAGAATTTTGGATGACTGTACGCAGAAAAATTTCCTTTTTCGATCATCCCTTTCTCCATTTATTTAAAAAAATTCCATCATTAGGGGTGTATATTTTTGGCGTTTGGCGCGCCAAAATCGGAAAATCACGCCAAACGCAAAACGCCAAAAATCGGCCAAAATTAACGCCAAAACGCAAAACGCCAAACGCCATGACGCACAGCCCTGCTCCCGAAGTAAGGGACTTAGAAAGGATTAAGGAGGACATTAGTGGACTTTAGTAGATTAATAGGATTTGATGGATATTGGAGAATTGAAGAAAAATGCATTAAGTTTGGACTTCTATCGGAGAGAACAGGGGAGACCTGGTCCGGCCAAAGTTCCTTGGTTTCAGTCCGTCTCCGTGTTTTTCTTCTTCCTTTTTTGTGCGCCGCAGGCGAAAATTTTGGTTATTTTGGAAGGCTGCAGGCAAAAAAATTTCATTTTTTTTGAAAACACTTACTCATATATTTGGAAAATTCCCATCATTAGGGGTGTATAATTTTGGCGTTTTGGCGCACCAAAAGATGAAAATCACGCCAAACGCCAAAATCGGCCAAAAATCACGCCAAAACGCCACGCCAAAACGTCATGACGCACATCCCTGATTCGAACCCAAACCTAACAAAATAACTAAGTGATTGAAGTCAGTCAACTTAACCACTCAACCATCGACCATCAAAGGGAAAAATGAGAAAAAATATGAATATTTCTTTTCCTTTTCCTTAAAAAATTAAATATCAAAGTACGAGGGTTACTTGTAAAATTCAAAAAATTTCCGTCATTAGGGGTGTAAATTTAGTCTCGTTTTCCGAGACCAAAACACCGAGACCGAGAGCTATAAAAACCCGGGAAATTTCCCGACTCGGGAACCGAGACCGGGAATCCCGACCATCACTACCCTGGGGATGGGTTGAAACAATAATCCCCCTCTTTCTACCCCACTCTATTAATTCCCCAGTCTCTATTAATTCCCCACCCTAGAGATGGGTTGAAACAATAATCCCCCTGGGGAATTACCAGAGTAAATACGGTAAATACCTATCAATAAAAGTAGTTACCCCATCCACTTTGTTTCGGTAACTTTACGCGAATATTATCTTCTATCCTTAACTTTTACACATTTTATCTTCAAACTTTTAGCTTTAAGGTAATTTTACTTTCTAATCCCTAACTTTCATCAGTAATATCTTTTAGTGCTTAACTTTGCTGCAATTTTACCTCCAAAATCACATCTTCCATCCCTTAACATTACATCAATTGTTTCTTCTATTGCTTAACTTTACATTAATTCTATCTTCTAATCCTTAAGTTTACATCAATATAATCTTTTTGTGCATAACTTTACATAGAAGAAATATTAGCGTAAAGTTACTGTAACAAAGTGGGTGGGGTAACTACAAATTAAACTAGTTCAAATAAAACTAGTTCATTCTGACACGATTTTATTATAAATAAATAGAATATTAAATATATTATTCAAAAATGAAATTTTAATATTTGTAATTGATCAAAGGAGGACGAAGTTTAACTTGTATTTTCGAACAGTCTCAGTGAGCTAAATGATGATTGTATCACTATCTAATGCAAAAATAATTTCGGATTGGATTTCAGTTCGAAAAATGTCTGGGTTTTGCGTATTTTTGTGATCGAACCTAGTGATCTATTGATGATTAATTATCGGTATCATAGTGAATAATCGACTGTTGCAAGTGAGCAGTCAAGCTGGAAATTTTGACTAGTCAATTGACAGTCCAAGCTGATTTTGCTTCATGATCCCGTGGGACTTATCCTGTAAATCCCGTAATCCGATAATCCCATTCTAAAATTTACCGGGATACCGCAGTTCTTTTAAATAAAAATTTTTATATAATCGATATTGGGGTTATCCGAGGATTTGAAGGCATTAAGTGAACTACAAGGTCCACAAATATCTCATTTGAAATTTTGGAAAGGAGCAAGTACATGGGGCTGCGGGACTTTGGTGGTTACCCTTTTAAAAGAATTTTTCAGCGCCGCAGGCGCCAAAAATTAACACATCTATGTCATTTTCTGGTCAAATTTAATCCTATCTTAATTATTCTTAATCCCTCTATTCCATCCATTTGAATCAAATGTAGCAATTGTCCTTAACATTTCAACTTAACTGGATTCAACTTAACTGCTTTTTAAGAAAAAATTTCCAAAAAATTTTAAAATAACATCTACAAAAACATCTACAAATTATTTTTTTATTTGTTTTGAACGAAATTTTATTCTTAATTTATTCTGAAATACCGCAAATAAATTCTTTCAAATTTTGTTCCCAAACTGGGAAACAAAATTTCGGTAATTCCTGATTTATAGGGTTAACGGGAGAAATAACCTCGCACGTGAGAGTTTAATAAACGACCCGAAGGCTTTCTTTAGCAAAATTTAATTTATTTAAATAAAAGTTTAAAAAAATTTTATTCGAAGAAATCTTATTTCTTAAAATAAAATTTAATTAAAATAAACATATGTTTTAATTCATTTATTCAAATGCAAAATAATTTCTACCAAATTTTTGGAAAATTAACGAACATTTAAATTTAATTTTATTTATAAAAACTTTTAATTTTAATAATAAAACATTTTCTAAATAAATTTAAAAAAATATTTTTTTTAATTTTGCAAAATCCCAATCAATTATTAAAGAATTAAACATCTTCCCCCCCCCCCCCCTCCACCCTCATTTTTATTTTATCTTTGTTGCTGCCAACTTTGCCCTCACATTTCCTGTCTTATTTACGCCCTCCACTATTAAATTTTTTTATTTAATTCCCCCCCCCCCCCCCCCCCTCCCTTACCCTCATTTCCATCTTTCTTTAAAATTTTTAATTGATTTTTGTCAAAAATTTAAAAATAAAAAATTTTTAAATTATTTATTTATTTAATTAATTTTCAAAGAAAACTTCTTTGAATAAAAACTTAAATGAAATTATTAACTTTATTATTAATTTCACCTTTGTTATTTTTAGTTGCATTATATTTTAAAGGTTAATTTAAAACATACAATGTAAAAAATATACAACATATTTATGCTAAGAAAATTTTTTTAAAGTTCCGGTGCCGGGATCCGGAAATTAGATTGGTCCTATATTTATGGCATTATCTCGGGTTTTCTTTACGAATTGGTCTGAATTTTAAATATGTAATAAAAACCTTTATTTATGTATACCTAAATTGAAAAGCACCAATTTATTAAAGTTAAAATTTTTATGAATTTATTTTATTGTAACTTTTATGTATAGGAATCTTTGTAAAATTTTTATTTACAAGCGAAAAATCCACAAAAACTTTTCTAAACTTTTCTATCAATGTATGTGAGAAATACAAAAGAAACGAAATTCTAACATCATTTTATCATAGAGATCCAAACGGAAAACCGGGGTTAATGTCTTTAAAAATATTTTCGACCTCGTATGGCTTAAATTTTCATTTATACTTTTCTGAAAATTAAATTTTAAAAATAAGACATAAATTTAATTTATCCAAAGGATCGGATGCTGGTAATATTTGTCGTAAAATGGATGCCAATCCTGGGGAAAGTAAAAACAAAGGGAAAGCTCCAATGGAGTATAAACAGAAAATTGACGGACAAGATTTTGAAAGAATTCATATTTATGGTTATGAAGACAAATGTAAGTATTGTAAATTTGCCTAAATATTGTGCACATTCAATTATAAAAATTATTACCAAACGGACTAGTAAAATAAAATTCTTTAATCAACCTTTCCCATTTATCCTTTTCTTAAAAATTTAATATTCTTCCCATTTTGTTGCAGATACTTTACAAGATGAAACAAGAGAATGTTCTTGTGGAATCGAATTTAAAGTGGGGGAAGTTGACGTTTTGTTAGAATTAAAAAAGGGAAAAGAGAAGATAAAAAATGAAGAGGAAATTAGTGAAGAAGTTGAACCCACTAAATTAATTGTTACAAAAGAGCCAATATATAATGGGAAGAAGGGAAAAGTAAAAATTTACCATGCACATTGGCCTGAGGAAAATAGATGTGTGGCAATTAAATTTTTAATTAAATCTGGTTCGGACACTAAGGATGCTGCAAAGAGAGAAATTAAAGTTTTGGAATATTTTTATGGATCGGATAAAAATACAAAGATTAATGGACCGATTCGCGTTGTAGAATATTTTGGACAGTAAGCGTTTTTCTGGTTAATTTTAGGGTTACCCTACAATGTTTTTTTTTTCACCATTGTACATACTTTTCCTTGGTCAATATATTTTAATAAATGTAAAAAGTTTTTGTTTTCAAAAATTTTAATTGAAATATAAATAATTTTATGGGTGTTTCTTTAAAAAATATTTGCAAAAATTTAATGGAAAGACGTGTGTTCAGGTCTTAAATCTCGTGTCGAGCTAACTCAAGGAACAGACAAGTCAATGAAAAGACAGGTCAAGGAATGATCAACTCAAGGAATGACCAACTCATGGAATATTTTAAAAAACGAATTTTTTTGAAAAATCTGTATATTTTTAAAAAATAAGAATTTAGAACAAATTAGAATACTTCGAAAAGCAGAATTTAAAAAAATTTAGTAAAATTCTGATTTTTCAAAAAATTTCGATTCTTAAAATAGTATTATTCCATTGACTTGTCTGTTCCTTGAGTTGTTATTCCTTGAATTAGCCTCCACCCTTAAATCTAGACTTGAAAAATAAAATATTTAACTTGTAAATTCTATTATCAATTTCTTCTCTATCAAGGAACTAATTTACATAAATCGTTCTCATATTTTTTTTATTTTAATTTTTTAAGCGAGTCAAAAACCATCCAAAATGGCCTAGAAGTTGAATCAATTGTTGTAGAACTTGGAAGAATGAATTTATTAAAATATTATAATTGGTTCACTAAGAAGTATGGGTATAACGCAGGGCAGTTACGACGAATTCTAATAAGTGCAGCTGAAGCACTTGAACAATTCCATGAACGTAAGAATTTATTGTATTTTAAAAAAAAGTTTGTTAAGGCACGTTAAAATATTTGTATTTGCAGTTTTACCTTAAATTATGCCGCTTTTTATTTGGACTAAATAAAAAAATTAATTTTTATTTATAGAAGGCTTTGTACATTTGGATATAAAATCTGAAAATTTTGTTAGTACTCATGAAAGGGATCAAAACAATAATTCAATATTCAAACTGATTGATTTTGGTACTTCTGAATTTATGGAGAATCATGATTTTAAGGTCTTGTCAAATGAGGTTTTGGGGACAGATGTGTACATGGCACCGGAAATTAATGTTGAATCATCTACAGTTTGGGTAAATTTATTTTCTATTTGCATATAATATGGTGTGGATGTCAGTGCTGGGTATTTGCCATTTGTTGGCTCCGGGCTCCGGTGTTTGAAATTCTTGGCTCCAGCTCCGGCTCCGGGGTTTTCAAAATCTTAGCTCCGGCTCCGCCGGAGCCGGCTCCGGAGCTAGCTCCCGGAGCCATACCCAGCACTGGTGGATGTTGACAGCTTAACCAACTGAATGTTGACAGAGCAGAAAGTCAGCAACAGAAAATCAACATCCATTCTATGACTGTTGACTTTCTGCGATAATTCATTCTTTTAATTATAAATAATGCCTCTAACATAATTAGCCAAAATTTATTAAAATTGAACAAACTTTTGATAAATCTTTTAGGTATCTAAAAAAGCGGATGTTTACTCATTTGGAGTAACTATATACACTTTGTTATACAGTCCGAACGTCGAATTTGATCATATAGATAAGAAAATGTTTAATCCAGAGTTTGCGCATTTCAATAGTCTTATTTCGGTAAGTTTATAAATTAGATTTGATGGTTTTTATTTAAGTAATTTTTTTGAAACCCCATCAATAGGTTTGTCGGTACCTGGAAATTCTTATCGAAACCAAAATTTTCGGATATCCGGGACAAAATGAAGAACCGAACCGAAAATCATCAGTTCTTCGTTTCGGTCCAGAACCGAAAACCCTACCCATAATGTATTGTCCCCCGGCCTATATTACAAATAAAACTGAAATTTCAGATGTGCATAGAGAAGGAAGTAAGATCTCGCCCAACAATGAATGAAGTTCTTGGTTTTTTGAAAGAAATCAAAGTTTAGGTTGAATGTTTGTAAAAGAACTTCTAAATTAGATGCCAAAATTGAGAAAGAATTTGATGAAGTTGCTTTTGCCTAATATCAAAAACCTCTATATTAAACACCTCTCTTTTTACTAAACATTCTTTTAGACCTTTTAGTTATTTAATTTAGTTCATATTAGTTAACTTTAATTACAGTAGTCGACAAAAAGATAGGGACAAACGCAAGTGAAATGGAAATCACCTATTTTCTCACCTAAAAATCGATTTCAGGAAAAATTTTTTGTTTGATTAAATACGCCATTCAATCCTCTATTTAATGAGTATAAGATCTGGCGTATTATTATTTTTTGATATACTGAAATAATTGAAATAAAAAAGTACTGCAAATTTTAGCCCGACAAAAAGATAGGGACAAGTCTTGTAACTTATTAGTCACCCAACCAATAAATCTACAAAAATTCGTGCAAACATACTTATCGATACTAAGATAAAATAAAAAAGAACTAGGCCAATATCTCATTTCAATGTCGAGATCTCGATACCCCAAAAATCAACGTAAAACAGGGGTAAGCATCTTCAGAAAATATTTTCGACCCCTTATGGATTTTTTGGAATTTTTATTTTGAGCCTATTCGATAGCTCTTGAAATTTGCTATAAACAAGCCGAATTTCATTTCTCAGAAAAAAATATTTCGTTAGCTGTAGAGGCTAATGTCACAAAAAACAACAAGCGCCCCATAAATTCCTTCATAAACAGCGTTTTGGAGAATCGTCGTCCTTTAACTCTGGAGTGAAATTTTTTTGAAAAATGAAATTTGGCTAGTTTATAGCAAATTTCATGGGCTATCGATTGAGCCTAAAATGAAAAAAATAAAACAATCAATAAGGCGTTGAAAAAAATTTTGAAGTTGCTTACCCCTGTTTTACGTTGATTTTTGGGGTATCGGGATCTTGACAACCAAATGAGATATGGACCTAGTTCTTTTTTATTTCAACTTAGTATCAATCAATATGCTTATACAAATTTTTTCAGATTTTTTGCTTTTATGAAAACTTAGTTACAAGACTTGTCCCTATCTTTTTGTCGCGCTTAAAATAGCATACCTTTTGTTTTTCAATATGGGTTGGATTTCATAAAATATTAATCAGGCAAATTTTCTACTTATTAAATAGAGGATTGAATGGCGTATTTAATCAAACAAAAAATTTTTCCTGAAATCGATTTTTAGGTGAGAAAATAGGTGATTTCCATTTCACTTGCGTTTGTCCCTATCTTTTTGTCGACTACTGTATCTTAAAGATTTTTACAATTTTGCATACAAAAAGATTTTTTGGTAAAAGACATATATATTTGTAGTGAAAAAGATATCAAGCGAAATTCCGTCTATTTAGAGACGGAGAACGGAAAAGAAACCTTGTCGGTTGTAAAAAATTATTTAGAGTAGCACAAAACCGTTTAATTTTGAAAAAACCGTATACCGTTTATGCCGTTTATCTGAGACCCGTATACCGTTTCGTTTATTTTTGAAGACTCCGTTTAAACGTTCGTTTACCGTTTATTTTTAAAATTTTTTAAAATCAATTCATAATTTAAGAAAATCAATGAAAAATCATTAATTATGATCATCCCTCTTTATAAAAATTATAATTCAACTATAATTTCATCATATCGATGGGTTTAGAGGGATAAGGAAGGGCTGAAGAGATGCCTGGTGATTAAGAGTGATATCAGTGGTTTTGGAAATATAGAGGATTTGAATATATATCGGAGAATTGAGGTGGGATATCGGTATATTATGAGTTATTAAAGGGGATCAGAGCATTAAGGAGATCAGGATCGTATATCTAAGGATTAAAGTGATGTAAGGGGATTTAAATTGATTGAGGGGATTTGAAGGGATATCATAGGATTAAGGTGGATATAATGTGATTTAGTAGAGCGTTTGAGGATTTGAAAGGATAATAAGGATCTCTCTTTTTCAGCGCCGCAGGCGAAAATTTTATGATTCTGGAAGGCCTTTAAGCTATATTTCTTCCCTTTTTTGCGCCGCAGGCGAAAATTTTTTGTTATTTGTGTGTCATAAAGCAGAAAGTCACGTTTTAAGCCACTAATTCTAAGAAAAAATTAAGAGAATTAAACGCCGTTTAGAAGGACCGTATACCGTTTATGCCGTTTATATGGGACCCGTATACCGTTCCGTTTAATTTTTCCAAAAAACCCGTTTACCGTATACCGTTTACCGTTTAGCTAAACGGTTTTGTGCTACCCAAATATTATTTATAAATATCATTTGTGTTTAATCAGTTTTTTCCAAAAATTTTTCAACAAAGTTTGGGCATTTAAAGTAATGTACAGTCTGCGAGTAATATTTAAGTTGACGAGAGAACATTGAACGGCCAGTATATTCATTTTCAATACTTCGATTAATTAAACGAAAACATTCAGACAATCTTTGAGCTCCTTCAATTAAACCTAATCTTCGTTGATTATATCTAAGTAAAATATTTGTATATTTAATTGATTCGTTATAAAGTAATTCTCTTCCTTCGGGAGACAAGCCTTTAGCATCTTAAAAAATTATAGTTTATTTAAATAAAATTTAAAAAAAATTTCGAATAGCGGCTTAAGTAGATTATAAGCTGGCGATTAATCATTATTACAAAGTCATAACACCGTATTTTTAAGGATGTACCTGATTTCGTAAAAATAATAGCTATTAACAAAGCTAATTCAACGTTTGTTACTAAAGCACGTTTAAAATGGGCAACAGATTTTGTAAATGAATGTTCTGTCCATTTAAGCATTCTAAAATAGGAAAATATTTTTAGTTTCGTTTTAGTCAAAAATTTTTTGAGAATTGTTTAAGAATTTTCTTAATAAAAATTTATTTACTTTTCATCATTTAAGAATACTGGATTCTTCATAATACCAAGAGCAGGCATAACATTATCTTTACGAGTCCAAGTTTCAGAGCCTAATTCCCAAGCTAGGTAGGCGCCTGTAAATGAGGTAAACAAATACCAAATCTGCCTTAGATGAGCAATCTGTAATAAAAAATAATCTTTAAAACTTGACACCAACCAAATTCTTATACTTTGATAGATATAAATGGGTAACCATACTCCAAATCCAACTTCATCCAAAATCCAACGATATTTGGGGATTAAGAAGGATATCGTAGATATATAGATATATCTTTTGCATACAGAATCTTTGCATACAGATTTTTGGGATAAGCAGTGATTAGCTCGATTAATTTATAAGTAATTTGGAGGGATATCGACGGATTGGTTGACGTAACCAATAAACCGAGTTGGCGAATTGCGAAATTTTGGCTGGCGAAATTTTGGAAGGCCAAGCAGGTAGACCGGTTTTCGGTTATCGACGGTTTTCGACCGGTTCCGGTTAAAACACCGGTTAACGGTTCCGGTTCGGGTAACCGTCCATCAACAACCCTAGTAAAAAATAACGGAAAAATTCCGTCATATGTCCCGGAAACCGATTCGGACGAACGATATGTCATTCGAAAGATCTCGCCGAGCTGAGTCGAACGGCACCAAAATTAGCTTGGGGACTCACATATGGGCCGAGATATAGGTCCCCGAAAATCGAAAAACAAAAGGGGGGACCAAGCACTTTTTTGGGGTGAAAAATTCGATTTTACAAATGATAGCTCATTCGAAAGAGCTCCTTGAGCAGAGTCGAATGACACCGAAATCGCCGTAATTGAACAAGTTTAGACAAAGTAACAACACAAAAAACAAACAACATAAACCTATGGAGCGTCGGCGAGGCGCTTGTGCAAAACCCCGCGCTTCGCGCGGGGTTTTGCGGCACGCGCCTCGCGGGGAGTCTACGGGCGCTGGGTCTGGGTTCGTAACATAAACTTATGCCTAATTTAGCTGCGGTCGGCATTCTGGCTTCCTCCGCAGCAGCAAAAACCTGCACGTAGGCCAAAGGTAAGGAGCCAAAACAAATGGTCATAACTTTGTCAAATCAAGTCATATTTCGTTGATTTTGGTGTCATTCGACTCAGCTCGAAGAGCTCTTTCGAATGAGGTATAATTTGCATGTTCGAATTTTTCACCCCAAAAAAGTGCTTGGTCCCCCCTTTTGTTTTTCGATTTTCGGGGACCTATATCTCGGCCCATATGTGAGTCCCCAAGCTAATTTTGGTGCCGTTCGACTCAGCTCGGCGAGATCTTTCGAATGACATATCGTTCGTCC